CTACATGCAAAACAACAGAACGTGGAACTTATTTAACCAAACATAATTCCCATCCAGCAAGAAATAACAAGTGTAATATCCACTAAAGCAAAGCTTAAGTATATAACACCAACATAGGGTATGACCCATTGGATGTAAGTGGATCTACAAGAGAAAGAGAGGATCGGATGGAGAGTTGCAAACCTTCAAAGCTAGGCTTGTTGCGAATGGTTATACCCAGATTGAGGGTATAAACTATGATGAGACCTTTTCGTCAGTAGCTATGCTTAAGCCCATTCGGATTCTCTTGGCTGTAGCCGCTCATATGGATTATGAGGCATGGCAGATGGATGTCAAGACGACTTTCCTTAACGGAAACCTTCAGGAGGACATCTATATGGATCAACTAGCGAGATACATTGCAAAAGGACGTGAGCATCTAATGTGTAAGCTTAATCGGTCCATTTATGGATTGAAACAAGTTTCGAGATCTTGGAATATTCGGATCGATGAGGTGATCCAGTCGTACGGGCTCAATCAATGTCTGGATGAGCACTGTGTGTACAAGAAAATAAGTGGGAGCGTGGTTGTGTTTCTTGTGCTGTACGTGGATGACATACTTCTCATTGGAAACAGTAAGAAGGAGTTGTCAGACGTAAAGGTGTGGTTGTCTAAGCAGTTTGATATGAAGGACTTAGGAGAAGCAGGACACATTCTTGGTATTAGGGTCGTACGAGATCGTAAGAAGAGAATGTTATGCTTATCCCAGTCATCATACATAGATACTGTCTTGGCTAGGTTCAGCATGCAGAATTCCAAAAAAGGTACCTTACCTTTCAGGAAAGGAATCCCTCTCTCTAAGGAGATGTCTCCTAAGACGCCTCAAGAGATTGAGGACATGAAGACAGTTCCTTATGCATCGGCAGTAGGAAGTCTTATGTATGCTATGCTTTGTACCAAGCCAGATATCAGCTACGCCGTTGGCTTAGTAGCTAGATATCAAAGTAATCCGGGTAGGGACCATTGGTCTGTGGTGAAGAATATACTCAAGTACTTGAGAAAGACTAAGGAGGACATGTTAGTTTACCGTGCAGACAGCTTGTTACCTCTGGGTTATAGTGATTCTAATTTCTAGTCAAGTAGGGACGAGAGTAAGTCAACCTCTGGTTATGTGTTTAACTTAGGAGGTGGAGCCATTTCATGGAGGAGTGCTAAGCAGAAATGCGTGGCAGACTCCACCGTGGAAGCTGAGTACATAGCAGCCTCAGAGGCAGCGAAAGAGGCAGTTTGGCTCAGAAACTTCTTGGTGGACTTATTTTCCACGTGGTATCACTATGTACTGTGATAACAGTGGAGCCGTAGCAAACTCAAGGGAACCACGAGCCCACAGAGCAACTAAACACATAGAGCGCAAGTACCATC